AAATGATTCAGTATTGGTGGGACTATTTAAGTTATTTTCACTTTAGATAATAAAATATACTTTTATATTTGTTTTGTACATATAAAATAAAATGGAAGATTACCATAAAGAGTTGTTAAATACATATTGTTTTATGATCCCTAGTACACGTGGTACAGGCTATCATAATAATGATGGGCTGTATGTTAGCGACTGATTTTACTGCAAGTACACGACATGTCTATGCATATCAGAAACAGTTCGATTTTTTCACTTACGAATGTGCCAGAGCACCATTTGACTACTTGCAAATACTGGTGGGATTGGACTTTTTCAAGATTCTGGAGTCAATCGAGCATTTTTTTTTCTTTTTATAAAAAGTGCCTATTGTGGGATTCGATCCCGGGTCGTAGCTATCGAGAATCGACGGTTTAAGAAAAGAAAGGGGCATCTCTTTATCGTGCAATTGAAAGATGGCTTGCGCTATCTATCAGAATAAATTTAATTATTCCGATAGACGGCGCAAGCCATCAGCAACTTTCAGTTGCACGATAAGAAGATGCTCCTTTCTTTTTTCTTAATTTATGCACCTTATCCCAGTACAATATCACATCTGTACTATTTTTTACGTGTTTTATTTAGTTATACCATGCATAAAATATTATTCGTAAAAAGTAAAAAAGAAACGTATTGAAGTCGTTGTACTTCGCCAGAATATAGATGGTGTAATGGACACGATACCATCAGCAGATTGACAATGCCTGTAGATGAAGAGAAAGGGAAGACAAAGAAAGCGAAGGAGGGTCAAAACTCCGCCAAGCTAACGGAGGGCCAATGCTCCGACCCTGAATTGATCCCAGCCGAAGGACGCAAGGACCTTGCCGTATCGACCGCTTAGCTCTGAAGGACAAGGAACCCTAGGGAGGGCAGCTCTCGCATGCCGCTTCTTTGTCTATATCAACGATTTATACACTTAAATACATTCTCTTGGAGTAATACACGATGTTTGCACGTTGTAAACAAACTGTTTACATTATTGGAGTAATACTCACTTTGTAAATATTATAGCTGTTGGTATGACGTTCGTATGTGTCTATAATTCTTTGTCTATTCCACTGTTTTTTACATCTCTTTATATTCTTGGAGTAATGCACGCTGTTTGTCTATTCCACCGTTTTCAACAAACTATTTTACATTATTGAAGTAATACTCACTTTGTAAATATCATAGCTGCTGGTTTGACATTCGTATGTGTCTATGATTCTTTGTCTATTCCACTGTTTTTTACATCTCTTTATATTCTTGGAAGTATGCACGCTGTTCGTCTATTCCACCATTTAAACAAACTATTTAAATTCTTGGAGTAATACTAACTTTGTAAATATTATAGCTGTTGGTTTGACATTCGTATGTGTTTATAATTCTTTGTCTATTCCACTGTTTGAAACAATTTATTTACATTCTTGGAGTAATGCACGCTGTTCGTCTATTCCACCGTGTTAAATTAACTGTTTACATTATTGGAGTAATACTCACTTTGTAAATATCATAGCTGTTGGTTTGACATTCGCATGTGTTTATGATTGTTTGTCTATTCCACTGTTTGAAACAATTTATTTGCATTTTTGGAGTAATGAACGCTGTTCATCTATTCCACCGTTTTTTACAATCTCTTTACATTATTGGAGTAATACTCGCTTTGTAAATAGCAAAGCGTTGGTTTGACATTCGCATGTCTCTATGATTCTTTGTCTATTCCACAGTTGAAACAATTTATTTACATTCTTATATATAAAGTAATGCACATGCGTCTATTTCACCGGTTTAAACAATCTCTTTACATTATTGGAGTAATATTCGCTTTGTAAATATCATAGCTGTTGGTTTGACATTCGTATGTGTCTATAATTCTTTGTCTCTTCCACCGTCTGAAACAATTTATTTACATTCTTATATATAAAGTAATGCACATGCGTCTATTTCACCGGTTTAAACAATCTCTTTACATTATTGGAGTAATATTCGCTTTGTAAATATCATAGCTGTTGGTTTGACATTCGTATGTGTCTATAATTCTTTGTCTCTTCCACCGTCTGAAACAATTTATTTACATTCTTATATATAAAGTAATGCACATGCGTCTATTTCACCGGTTTAAACAATCTCTTTACATTATTGGAGTAATATTCGCTTTGTAAATATCATAGCTGTTGGTTTGACATTCGTATGTGTCTATAATTCTTTGTCTCTTCCACCGTCTGAAACAATTTATTTACATTCTTGTGTGTGTGAGCGGGGGTTACATGCGTCTATTCCACCGTTTTAAACAAACTATTTACATTATTGGAGTAATACTTACTTTGTAAATATCATAGCTGTTGGTTTGACATTCGCGTGTCTCTCTATATTTCTTTGTCTATTTCACCGTTTGAAACAATTTATTTACATTATTATGGAGCAATACACACTGTTTGCATATCTCTGTCCCGTCGTTTTAGGCAATCTATTATAATTTTTGATAGAATACAATATATACGCTTTGGCAATACCTTATATTCTGGTTTGGATTGATACTCTCATGTCTCTCTATGATTATTTGTCTATCTCAACGTTTTAAACGTTACATTCTTGAAGTAAAATTCACGTTTTATAAACATCATTTCTACTTAAGAAAAAAATGTATTTCCTGATTGTTCAACTAAAAGTTGCTGATGTCTTGTGACATACGTAGGAATAAATATCAACTAATCGTTGATTTTTAATTATTCCAGAATTGACCAAATACCGTTTCTTGATTAATCAAGGAAAGCTAACCACATACACGTTTCAGGCTGTTGGCTCATGTCGGTGGATGAGAGGGTAACACTCTCGATTCCCGACAGTCATGAACCGGGATTGAATCCCGCGTTAAAATTTGTTTAATATGTGAATAACCTTCACATATATTATTCACTGTTTCAATTATCATGAACTAGGTTGCTCTTTCTGAGCGGTACCTATTAGTGTAATTTTGAACCAGGCTGTTGGATCTCATATTAATGAAAAATGTCATCTTCTATTGGTGAAACTAAAAGAGATGCCCTTTTTTCTTCTTAATGTATCTTTCTGATATGAGTACAATTTCACTTTTTTTCTAATTTTTACTCTACCTACTTGTAGATTGAAATCTTGCCGGGAGTAAATTGTTCAAGAAGAGCATAGGGCGCCTCTTTTGTCAAAATAAACTAGATGACGTCTAGTTTTAATGTCTATTTTGACGGGAGAGACGCCCTATGCTCTTGTTTGTATTATTGATGATATTAAGTCTTCTTCTTTCTTATCTCCACTCAATCATATTAAGGTATCAAGCTTTTAGAGCTTGAGACTTTTGATGGTGTCTGCCGGGGATGAATAGAGCTCATCAATGGATGAGTCAATACAGTCAATAATGTGTATCATATTAAGTAACTTGACCGATATGTCCTCACTTCTATTTTCTAGATTTGGTTCATTTTGTCTCCTCTCTAATTGTAAAGATGTTGCTGTATCACCTCATAAGCATAAATAAATATTAAGTAACTCTACAAAATAAGTAAAAATAGTTATTTTTAGCTTTCCTCTAATTACAATAACAGCCAGGTATAATTCGTACTGACTCTTAACTGAAAAATTAACAGAAGCTTTGAAAGAAGTTACAAATTGTAATTGGGCTGCCTATCGATTCTATCCTGATGTATGAATTATTCAGTGTAAGAATTAGCCGTCTACTGTATTTTTAATACGTTTTACCAATTTAGGACGACACTGTTGAAATAACTCCCGAGGGGTTCCTCTCTAGAGTAAAATTCTATTTAAGAAAAAAAATCCGTCTTGTATAAAGTTAATATGTTTTTCTAAAAATATCGTAATCCATAAGATTCAACATTAAAATAAAAAAGGCATATCTTGGATTGAACTGAGTTTTTATTGAATGATATTTCGAAGAACAGAACAGTCGTATTTTTCATTTTTTTACTATTTGAAAGATAATACAGTTAAACCTGTCTATAGCGCCCCCTCTAAATAGCACCTTCCTCTCTATAACGCCCGATTTTAAACATTAAAATGTAAAAATTTTACATTAAAAGTGACCTGTCTATATCATCCCCTCTCTATAACACCCTATTTTGGTGAGTCCCAAGAGGGGGCGCTATAGACAGGTTTAACTGTATATATACTACTCCCTCTCCGGGGGTTGAACTTAGACATTACTCAGGTCGTCTTTACTTAAAACTTTCTACAAATTTTTATATGATACAAGGTTATATATGTGAAAAAAAGAAATAAAGGTCAGGTGTTGATATTAAAAAACAAATTAGGCATATACAAATGGAAAAGCGCCATCTAAAAAACGCTCATTTTAGTGGCCAGGATATGCCTAATTTGTTTTAAAAGTTATATATGTTACATGTTTTTTGTTCTATATGGTATAAAAAGGATATATATACAGATAGACATTAAAAATCAAAAAGGCATATCCTGACCAGGAGCATATGTGCTTTAGCTGCTGATTTAACCTGTTCCCTGATATTTGGTCAACCCAATTTCTTGATAAATCAAGAAAAGATATCCACGAACGCGCTTCGCGCTTTTGGCGCTCGTCAGCGTGGAGTAGGCTGTACCACTGCGACCAAAAAGATTTTTGGTCCCAGAAGCTTATTGAAAAACCAAGAAATGGGTATTTAACACCAAACTTGCGTAAATACGCTAAACATGTGAAAAAATGAAAGAGAAAAATAGACAGACATATGATGGATAGGATCCTATTAACTAAGGCAATATTAGCCGCTAGGTTTTGGTTCTAGTTAGAAAATAAGCACCAGCGAGATTCATTCATCTAGAGAGTTAGAGCCTGTATTTTATATATTATTAGTAAATAGAGAGTGTGTGTTATATTATTATTATTTTTTTAAATGAGCAATCTTATGATAAAATAATAATATATTTCCCCCGTGTTCACCATGTTTAATCTATACGAACTCTATACATATAAAAAAAAAAAACATCCTAGCAGGGATTTGAACCCGGGACCTATGGATTAGAAGTCCAAGGCACTATTCATTGCGCTACTGGGAAACACATTTTAAGAAATAGTCGCGCACAGAATGTATTCCCGCCTACATAACGTCTACACACCTACATACACTAACGTCCTTTGTTTAAACTCCTACGTAACCAGTATTAATATAATTATAATGGGGTTAGAGTATAATCCTATTCTCTATGTAAGATAGCTCATTCTGAACAATTGATGGTTAAGAGCTTAATTTATAAAGAATACAATTCATTATTCATTATAAAATTGTGAAAAAAGTTTTAAAATTACAAAATATTTTCTCACAATGAGTTTCATTTTATTACAAAACGCTAGCTTTCAAGTGATAATCGCTCTTCAATGGGTTTAATAAAACATCGAATATTTCTTGTAAGATATAGTCGATGTTTAATTAAGCCTTTTGAAGAGCAATTACCTCTTGAAAGCTAGCGTTTTGTAATAAAAAGAAACTCATTGTGAGAAAATATTTTGTAATTTTAAAACATTCCATTATCACAGGATTGCGGTTTTCGACAAATTACAAAAAAAAAGCATGTGATGCTGCAACTCTTTTTTATTTATTTGATTAAAAGAAGATTTAGGGCAAGCCCCTTTTTTAGATAACTAAAACGTTTTTGTTTACTGAGGAAGGGTTTGTCCGAAAGCTACTTTAATCAATTAATAGAGTTGCGGTGTCTTATATCTTTTTTGTAATACATCAATATTTGAGTTGGTTGTTTCCTGACGTTAGAGAAACTCTTTGTCATCTTTCTCTCTGGGGATTGATTTCTTGAATTCAAGAACTGTTTACCTGAGGAAGATATCATTGAGTCGTTGAAAGGTCGGGGAATACTAACTAATTAAAAACCTGTTCAAGTGTGTACCATGTGTAGCTACACTCATGGACAAAACTTAAGGAAGTGTAATTCTGAAGGAGACAGAGGTGTTCACACTTGGTTATCTCGTGTATCTTCAAAACAGGTCACTGTAATATATTTCAAAGTTATTGTCTGAATCCCGATATACATGCTAAAAGCTACAACTTCCTTAAGTTTTGTCCATGAGTGCATTTGGTTATCTCGTGTGTCATCAATAAAGGTCACTGTAATATATTTCAAAGTTATTGTCTGAATCCCGATGTACATGCTAAAAGGTACAACTTCCTTAAGTTTTATTCATGAGTGTATTTGGTTATCTCGTGTGTCTTCAATAAAGATCACTGTAATATCTTTCAGAGTTATTGTCTGAATCCCAATATACATGCTAATAGGTACAACTTCCTTAAGTTTTGTCCATGAGTGTCTTTGGTAAACTCGTGTGTCTTCAATAAAGGTCACTGTAATATCTTTCAGAGTTATTGTCTGAATCCCGATATACATGCTAATAGGTACAACTTCCTTAAGTTTTGTCCATGAGTGTATTTGGTTATCTCGTGTGTCTTCAATAAAGGTCACTGTAATATCTTTCAGAGTTATTGTCTGAATCCCAATATACATGCTAATAGGTACAACTTCCTTAAGTTTTGTCCATGAGTGTCTTTGGTAAACTCGTGTGTCTTCAATAAAGGTCACTGTAATATCTTTCAGAGTTATTGTCTGAATCCCGATATACATGCTAATAGGTACAACTTCCTTAAGTTATGTCCGTTAGTGTATTTGGTTATCTCGTGTGTCTTCAATAAAGGTCACTGTAATATATTTCAAAGTTATTGTCTGAATCCCGATGTACATGCTAAAAGGTACAACTTCCTTAAGTTTTATTCATGAGTGTATTTGGTTATCTCGTGTGTCTTCAATAAAGATCACTGTAATATCTTTCAGAGTTATTGTCTGAATCCCAATATACATGCTAATAGGTACAACTTCCTTAAGTTTTGTCCATGAGTGTCTTTGGTAAACTCGTGTGTCTTCAATAAAGGTCACTGTAATATCTTTCAGAGTTATTGTCTGAATCCCGATATACATGCTAATAGGTACAACTTCCTTAAGTTTTGTCCATGAGTGTATTTGGTTATCTCGTGTGTCTTCAATAAAGGTCACTGTAATATCTTTCAGAGTTATTGTCTGAATCCCAATATACATGCTAATAGGTACAACTTCCTTAAGTTTTGTCCATGAGTGTCTTTGGTAAACTCGTGTGTCTTCAATAAAGGTCACTGTAATATCTTTCAGAGTTATTGTCTGAATCCCGATATACATGCTAAAATGTACAACTTCCTTAAGTTATGTCCGTTAGTGTATATTAAACTCATTCTAAGAGTAATAAAAATTAAATCAATGAGGGTTCTATAGAGAAGAGAAACAATCAGCCGTCGATGTAGGCCAAGGTGAGGATCCCCAGTTACCCCATTGACCGCAACGCTCCGTGCGACGGTGGGAGGTGTTGCGTGGAGGGGAAATACGCGCCGTGTGACTCGCTGACACGGGATAAATTACACCATTGATCTACACGTAGCTACTAGTTAAATCATGGAGACACAGCGGCGCGCATCTATTCATCATAATTAACTTTTTAAAACTGATATTTTTCACTTTTTAAATGGATTTCTCTCTATAGACAATTTTAAGTCTTTATTGACAATTGGTAAACATTTTTTAAAATGCTTTTAAAAAAGAATAACTGATGATATAGATTCACTCTCATAGACAAAAACTTAAGGAAGTCTAAAGTCTTTGATCTCGCTGGTCGTCTGTTTTTTGAAGTAGACAGAGGCAATTTTGTTCACACTTTGTTATCTCGTGTCTTCAATGTGTATCAAATATATCTTTGTGTATCAAATATCTTTCAGAGTTATTGTCTCGATATACATGCTAAAAAGTACAACTTCCTTATGTTTTGTCCATGAGTGTATATAAGGGGGTGATGGAAACATATTTACACATCAGCTAGGGAGGCTCCCCCACCTAGAAAGAGTCCTCATCCAAATAGCGTGGAATGACTTCTTGAGCTACCTTCAGTTCTACGCTCAAGAAGTACCTGTAAATACAGGCCTTAGTAGACGCGATAATTTCTCTGTATAGATCAAGTCCGGCTTGCGGACAGAAAGGTTTGGGTGGCCATCTGCTTCAAGGGTGTATAGATCAGGTAGATCTCATGTAGAGACTCTGTAGACTTCATTTAAAGATACAGTAGGATTTACAATGACATGAAATCGCCCGATATCTTAGAAAATATCAAAGCTGATGGCGACGAGGTTCTTTATTGAAAAGGTAAATTTTGGCGAGAGCTTTCTGACATCAACGTCCTTCAACAGGCTGTATCTCGCAGGGGCAACTCTATGTAGCATGCTCCCGTGTTTCTAGCCCAATAAATTTATTTGTCTTTAGTTCTACATTTAGCAAGACGCGCAATATTGTTTATCAGAGGGCTTTGATCTAGATTTTGACAATTTTTAAAGAGATTTCTTCGTATAATGATTTTGGGAAGCTTGACTTTTGTAAATATATTTTGTCAATATCTTGTTCATCATTATTGCTCTACTGTAGTTTCATCGATAAATCATTTTTTTTTTACTTATTTTGTTTTTTTCCCCATTTAATTCATTTGCATTATTCTATTCTAGAAAATTGTTATTTTATGGGGTCACCATTTCTGGTTCAATTAAGGTTTTTGTTAGCCTGCAACAAACTTATGATAGCTCATTGCATTTATCAGGATAACTTTGCTGTTTTGAATTTTACACCATTAGTATTTTTATGACTCTGCTATATTGAACAGAAAGTTAATTCTGCAAACTCATAATATATACACAATTGTATTATAGTTGTTTCTATTCAATTCTTCATTCCGTATTTTTTTTTTTTGATTATATAAGTTTGCAGAATTTATAAAAAATTTGGTTTGGGTTATGTACATTAAGAATTTGTAAAAAAATAAAGGTCAAAGTTTAAAAAAAAAAATTCGGAACACCATTTATCTCCCATTTAATTTAATAAACGCTTCATGTATTATTTTTAGAATTGCATTATTTTTAGGCATATTATTTTTAAAAATTGATGTTAGCAAGACATGGAATGTTGTTAAGTTAATGTACTATTAAAAAAATTACCAACCCATGAAGCGTTAGCTCCAGTCTTTTACCGCTGGGGGCAGCATTGTTAGAGCTAATAAATGATTTCGATTGGTGCATACTTTTACATGATGTTTGTTTTTAGACTAAATTTATTCAAATCAAGATAGCTTTTTTTTCATGCTTTTGAAAGTTAAGATTATATTTTTAACGTTTCATAATACTTTTCAAATTAAAGTCTTTCGAAATAATATTGCTTTTTTCCCATCCTGCAGGTCAACATTACACTGCAACATGCAGAGTATTAGGCTCATAGATTGTTGAGCTCTGGAAACCAAAAGGAATAATACTCTGCTAGTGATCTCTTTTGACTTGTATATAAAATAGATTATTATAATAGGAAATAAACTAATGCTTAGTTAATCTTGCCTCGTCTTGGATAACAACACATGGTGGCAGCGGTAAACTGAATTCATAAAGAAGGTCGTTGTTCGAAGAAAATTTGAAATTCGACATCCAGCAAGCTTAGAAGCGGTAAACTGAATTCATAAAGAAGGTCGTTGTTCGAAGAAAATTTGAAATTCGACATCAAGCAAGCTTAGAAGCGGTAAACTGAATTCATAAAGAAGGTCGTTGTTCGAAGAAAATTTGAAATTCGACATCAAGCAAGCTTAGAAGCGGTAAACTGAATTCATAAAGAAAGTCGTTGTTCGAAGAAAATTTGAAACTTGACATCAAGCAAACTTTTTGGTAAGTTATATTATATTATAAGTAAATCTTTATAATGTCCCAAAATTATAATTGTGTAGCCCCAGAATCTTTTAATTTTTCAAATCCAGGTGATTGGCCAAAATGGATTAGGAGATTTGAACGTTTTAGGCAGGCAAGCGAGTTAATTAACAACCCAGAAAATGAGCAAGTTAATATGCTCGTGTACTGCATGGGTGATAATGCAGATGACATTTTGTTGTCATGTAAAATAGCAAGTGACCAACTAGAAAATTATAATAAAGTTATTGAATGCTTTGAAAG